CTCGCCAGGTCATTTCGGCGAACTCAGCATCATCAGGCTATTGGAACTTCGGTTGCCAAGTCAGCAATCGCTCGGAACTCACTCGGGTGTCTCGCGAGTTGCCAGCTGTCTGCAAAGCCCTTAATAACTTCCTTCGCCTACAGTTTCCAGATGAATCCTGGAATGCGCTGTGCGTGGCTAAGAACATTGTCACTTCGGCTCACAGGGATACGGCTAATGTGCCGGGGTCTTCCAATCTTTCGGTTAGCCTGGGTTCCTTCACCGGCGGCTTGCTTTGGCTTGAGGATGCATCAGGCGATCATATGCGCTTCATACCATTGCTAAATACTTCGATTAGGGGTAAGCTCCTCTGCACGAAAGAAAACCCCATCAAGTTTCCTGCACATGCCTGGCATATGACCGAACCTTTTTCCGGAGAGCGATGGGTCTTGACTGCCTTCTCTATGTCAAATTGCGATAATGTCCTGCTGGCCACGCTTGATTTTCCCGTCACATCTTCTCCGCCTCAGGTGCCATCTTCGGGCCCTCCGAAGCTGCAGCGAGCCGGGCCGTCACAAGATCATTCCGGGTCAGGCGTAAATTGGGGTCAACCTTCGGCTTTTGGGTTTAGACACCATTCCCTAAAACCGCCCCTGCTTTCCCCTGCCCCGGGTCGTTCTTCGGCCGCACTCGATGCTCTAGCGAACATCCCTCAGCGTTTTTCCTGGACATTTGCTCTGGTGTGGCCAAACCACCTTCAAGTGCTGTGGAAGCATCTGGCCTCGCTACGCTCTCAATTGACATTCTGTTGGATCCCTCAATGGATTGGCTTCGGGATGACTTCTTTGAGCAGCTTTTGTTCATTTGTGGTTCAGGCGCAGTCGGCTACTGCGCCGCAGCTCCTAGCTGCTCGCATTACTCGCGCTTGAAGCTTTCAGGTGGCCCACCATTTCCGATTCGCACCCCAGAACACTTGGATGGCGTGCCTGGCTTGGGTCCTTCGGATCTCGCTAAACTTCAGGAGAGCAAAGAAATCTTGTCTCGTTGCTGCAAATGTGTGTCCATAGTTTATTCAGCAGGAGGCCATGGTCACGTTGAACAACCTGCAGGTGCAATGTCCTGGGAAGAAGCTTGCTTACAGTCCTGGCTTCATGGCCTCTCTTATCTGGGTGGCAGCTTGTGGCTATGGCCTCCCTTGGGCGAAGACATGGTTGTTCGCTTCCAGCTATGCCCCCTTGCGCAACATTGGCTGTGTCTGCGAGCATGGGCGAGAGGCACATCCTGTCATGCGCGGTCTTGATAGCTCTGGGTTGTTTAAAAGTAGAATGACAGCACAGTATCCGGAAGCGCTTGCTACAACTTTCGCAGCTCAGATAAGAGTGCTCCTGGACAAATCAGGCCCCCCATTGTCTTTGCGAGAGGCCCTCACATTGGTTCCGCGTAAACCCATGGATCAGATGCCACGGGCAGTCCACGATGGGGCAGGTCGTCACTCGCATGCTGACTGGAGTGCACCTTGCACGCCAGATTTTCTGCGTAATCAGCGATCTTTTTTGTTTAAGGTTACTGCATCCATGTGCGGCCCATCCCGCCTTCTTCAGCGCCGCAATGAGCCCAGCAAAGAACCTCTTTTCTCGGCTTCAGAGGTTGCTTCGGTTAGGGAGGGTTTCTTCTCAGCACTGGGCGTCCCGGCTCCAGCCAATGCTTGGTCGCAGCGGGCACATCAGCCTCTCTGCTTAAATGCTTTAGAGGCCGTTGCTCAGGTGTGTTTAGATCCAGATACCACATTGTTCCCAGCCTTGAAAGCTGGAATTCAGACGGGATTTCAGGCGGACATGCCGCCCTCAAATTGCTTTTGGCCCAACATTCGTGAATCCCTAGATGACGTGCCACTCTCGATTCACTTGCAGAATTGGCGCTCGGCTACAGTGGAACCTGCAGTTACTCGCAGGCTGCTTCAGGAGGAACTTGATCAAGGGTTTTGCTTCAAGTTTGATGGTTCGCTAGCCGATGCTCAGCGACGCTGGCCACTAGGGGTTGCGCTAGGCAAACTTTCTGTTGTTCGGGCTCCTGGCAGGTCGGAGCGGCTTTGCCTTGATAATTCAGTATGTGGTACAAACGCAAACTGTGCTGTGCCTGAAAAGCAGCACATGCCTTCAGCTCGAGATGTCTTACACTCCTATCCTTTGCGGGAGTGCTCGAAGATTCAAGGTGCGCTCTCGATTGACATCAAGTCAGCCCATAAGCGCTGCGTTGTCAAAGAGGAAGAACAAGGATTGCTAGGGTTCACATGCGAGGAACCAGATGGCTCAAATGCCCTCTACTTCTATCGTACATGCCCTTTCGGGGCGACATTCGCCCAGCATTGGTGGGGGCGGCTCGGCTCATGCATCCTTCGCATTCTTCACATTCTCATCTACATTGCTCATACAGGCCATTTGTTTGTGGATGATTATCTCTTTTCTCAGGAGCTGTCCATTCTTCCAGCAACAAGTGCCATGATTTGCATGTTCATGCAGATCATGGGCGTGCCCCTTTCATGTCACAAACTCCAGATATCAGTTCGGGTCACCTGGATTGGCTGGGATTTCCAGTATTCTGCAGGTATCGTGTTGCTTAAAGAGTCAAAGCGCTTGAAGCTGCTGGGCATGGTGCAGGACCTGCGCCAAAACCCTCGCCTGACCAAAGAGGATTTGGAACGCTTTATTGGCCTGGCACTTTGGGCTACAAGCCTTTTTCCAGTCATGAAGAGCATGCTGCATACTTTCTATCACGACCTCTACAGTCCAGCTGCCACGAACTACAGCATCCCGCCAGAGCGCTGGCATGAACTTCCAAGCTACTTGTCACCAGATTTGCGTTTCACTGTGACGCCGCCAGGTACGCGGATACCGGTCAACTCCAAACTGCTTTCGGCACGTCACCAAGAATTGCACTCTCTTCGGGATCTCGAGAAGGTTCGTGTGTCAGATCGTAGGGTTTGGCTTCGGGTGTCGAGTCAAAACAGCAAGAAGCGCAAATTGAGCTTGAACTCGCTGCGCATCCTTGGCATTTACGAGCATTGGCTTTTGCATATGTCACCATTTCGCTCGATGCGACAGCCTGCCACTCCGCTTTTCGATGCGCGAGCAGATGCCAGCGCCCGGGGTTCTCATTGCTGCATAGGTGGCCATGTACGCCACCCCTCATTAGGTCACCGCTGGTTTCAGCAAACCTTGCTCACGCTGACTTCTTGGCTTTGGGCATTGGGGTTCAAGCTGATATGGCAAGGGCGATTTCGTGCTATGAAGCTCTCGCACAGGCAGCGCTGATACTTGCGGCATCTGCCTTGCTTCCATGCAGTTGCGTCCCAATTACTCTCAGGGCTCTTTCAGATAACACAGGTGCTGAATCAGGCCTTAACAACTCCTTGACAACAAGTCAGCCGTTATGCTTTTTCTTGGAGCGGATTTCACTTCTTGCAGCAGTGCATAGAATCACTCCTGATGTCTCGCACATACCAGGTGAGGCCAATGATAAAGCCGATGCGCTATCTAGACTGCAAGAGCACCCCTTGCCTCTCGATTGTTTTCAGCATGAGCGCATCTCAGCTACGCTTCAGGATCTCTGGCTGCCGCAGCCAATGATCAGTGTGTCACCCTCTTCAGTGCAGCTTCCGTGGCAAATTCGTTCCCGTGGAGTGCCCACCAACCTCACATAGTTTCGGGGTTTTTTGGCTTAGCGAGGTTGCTGGGTTGGTGCGGTTGGACCACCCATCAACCTCGAATAGCTGGCTTGACTTGCGGCCCGGACTTCGTGGGCATACGGCACTCCAGGAAAAGGCAGTCCTTTCTGTCGAGAGTTAATCCCTCCGGGATACACGCCTAGCCAGCACAACTAAAGTAGTAGAACGGTTAGTGTACTTGTTCACATCTATTTTACTACTTTATGTTCGTGCGAACATTTTGGCTCAGTTGTGCTGGCTAGGCATCTTCTTTGAAATCCTCACCCACCCGCCCGTTTCACGCTTGTTCATTCTCACTGGCATTGGCTACAAGAAACAGTTCAAGATCCCCGTAACAAGAAAGTCAAGAGTATCGGCTCCGGGGCAGCCATATCTAGAGTGCTGTGCTTCACCTTACGTTTCACGCCAGCCCGAAAGTCTTGTTCCTGTCGCGACTTTGGGGTCCCCAATAACTTTCTTTCTCTATGCATTACTGCTACACATCGGGCTTTCTTTTTTGCATTCTGCTGCCAGCGTGCAGGTGATTGTACCTTACAGTTATGTGTACTTCAGCTGGTGCAGCTGTGCTTGCACGCTCTACAAGCCACAACCGATGCAAATGCTATCATTCTTTTGAAAGGTTCTTTACTTTTCCATGCTTGGGCTTTTCGGTTCGCGTTGCTTCGATACCCAAATATTGCATCGCTTTGCCTTTCTTTCCCGTTGATGGTGCGGTTGGACCACCCATCAACCTCGAATAACTGGCTTGACTTGCGGCCCGGACTTTGTGGGCATACGGCACTCCAGGAAAAGGCAGTCCTTTCTGTCGAGAGTTAATCCCTCCGGGATACACGCCTAGCCAGCACAACTAAAGTAGTAGAACTCAGGAGGCCCATAGTTTCTTCGGGCTCCTTTCAGGAGGACCTCAAAAATCCAGAGAGGCCTCTGTAAACCACCGAAATTCGGAAGCGTCATGCTGCCTAAATCAACAATCATGGGAGCTCTGGGCCTGCAGCCCCTCACACTGAATCCTAAATCCTTGAACCCTAAGAGCGACAGTCTATTCCTTGGGTTTCGTGTTAGACTCATAGTACAGAGGACAACACACAAGAGCTCAGCCCCAGTGCCTCGTTTTCACAACTTTTTAGCTTCAAGGTCGAAGTGGAGAAATGCTGCAAGGAACGTAGACCGGCCGAATCCCAGCGCACTTAAGCGTGAATCGTTTCCGTCGAGTCGGAAAACTTGCGAGCCCCGCAAGACATGACGCAAGGGGGTTAAAACGTGTGGGAGGGTACTTGGCTTTCGAGTTCCAGCCGAGGGAAGCGTTGCTGCGGAAGCGTGCTCTGACTACAGTTACAGCCGCCAAGCAGCAGATGTGGGGATTGGTGTTGATGATGGATTTGGGGTTTAGGGTTTAGGATATAGGTGCTGATGATGCTACTGTTGCTGCCCACAAGAGTGGGCACGTGAATGGCACTGTCTATGGTAGTTGCGTCGTCGACAAGTTACCACAGAAGTCGTCACTTTACTGGTGCTGTCTATGGTCTGTCTATGGTAGTTGTGTCGTCGACAGGAGTGGTTCTGGTGGGAGTGATGACAGTGTCCCTCGTGGTAGGGACAGTGTTCTGCAGGGTCATGATGATAGGCTGATAGTGATGCTGGTGGTGCAGATGTCAACGATCCTCTTTCGCGGTGCCGCGAGGTTTAAGTTTAGATTCATACTGGCATTGTTTTTGAGGTTTCCTCTGCCCGCCGGCCTTTTAATGGTGGATCGGTCGCGCAACAGATTCCTCCCGCATCTCTATCTTTTGCTCCATCATCTGCATCCACAACCCAATCCCATCCACAGTCACCAGTTTCTCTTTCCCGGACCTTGGGTTCAGGGCTCCGTTGATCTTTCTTGGCGAAGGAGTCGGAAGAGGGTTCAGGGCCTCTTGTTGCGGAAGCCCCCGTTTGTATCTATGTTGCGGAAGCCCCCCTTTGAATCCATGACACAATGAACAAGCATACACCCTCAATCATGTCAGGCTACTACGACGACGTCGACGACGGATACGTGGACCGCCGGAGGTGCACGGGTATGGGATGCCAGGAGTCCTTTGTCAAGGAAAGCTTCAGGAGCTAAAGGGAACTCCAGAAAGTTGGAATATGGTTTCAGGGTAGGATACCTTATAATTTACCATAAAGGGTTTAGGAATCATATTCCAACTTTCTGGCTTTTACTGTAAGCCTACTAAACGCCACTTGGGGTGGTGTTGGGGGTTGCCTTTCACGCAGTCATCACCTCCTAAGCTCAGGTTTTGGCACGCGAAACCAGTCCGAACTCTGTGAGCAAGCCAAGGGATCGGTAGTTCTGCCAAAACTTATTTGCACTTAACTTCATGAAACCCTAAACCCTATACCCTGATAGAATCCCTATAGATCCCTTTAAAGGGGCCCTTAAAGGAATCTTTATAACTACCCATGAACCTCCAAGCAATCCTAAACCCTGAACCCCCAAGAGCTTGAACCCCCGAAGCCCTGCAGCCTTCCACTGGACATCGCTACTCCCTCAAAGTTTCAATCCTTTCCTGTGGCCCAAAAGACCTGGTAGTTGTCAACATCATGGCCCCTTTTTGGGTGCCTTTAATATTAGGTGCCGTATTACAATAAAGACCCCAAAACGGACCATAATTTTGACAACCACCCATATATGGAAGCCATATAACAAGGAGCCCCAAAAAAGGCATGTTTTGACAGCGAAGGAGTGAAACCCTTTAGGCCCCAAACCCTCAAAGTCCCAAGCAGCAAACCCTTGAAGCAGGGGTTAAGGCTTATAGGGCTTAGTTTTTTTTTTTCGGGTTTTTAGTTTGGGATTTTGAACCTTAAAGAAACCATGAGATTCTGCTGTGTTCCGAAGGCCGCCGCGGCGTGGGTCTCGGACACCGCGGCCTCGCAGCCGGCGGCGCCGGCGGCCGCGTCGCCGAGGAGTTTGTCGTTGGTGTTGCGCATAATGCAAAAGCCTGAAGAATCATCAGCAGTGTTATTCTGTTATTCATTAAGGTTCCTTTATGTCTCGATCGGACTTCCCTACATGTAGATAGGGTTCAGGGCCTCGGGTTTAGGTATTGAAGGAGAAAACTTAAAGTACGTACAAGTAGACGTAGCTAGCTAGCGAGCTAAGCAACTTTCTGCCTAGCTAGCAAGCTGGCTAGCTAAACTAGCCAACTAACTAGCTAGCTAGCTAACAAACTCACTCATTCACTACCTGACTCACTCGCTCACTAGCTGACTGACTAACGGTCGCTGTCCATTTAACTAGCCAGCATTAAGAATAAGAGGTATATATATATATATTTATATTTATATATATATATATATATTTATATTTATATTTATATATATATATGTTTGTATGTACACTCATCCCTGTGCCTGTGCGTGTGTAGATTTAGCCGCCAAGTCCTGAACTTGAAAGCCTGATCCCCAAAATCTTCATTCATCTGAACTCCCAACAGCTATGTCCCACATCGGAAACCTTAAGCCTCGACGACCCTGGAGCTGTGAGCCTGCGTCTCAACAGTTCTAGCTCTGGCTTAGCTTAGGGTTGAGTGTGTGGAGCGTTGCGAGCCTTTTGAACCGCAATACCAATTCTGTGCTCTGGACCCCGCCAGACCGCAGGAGCAAGTCACTCCCCTCCGGCGAAACCTTTGTTCACGGAGCCTGCAGAAGCACCAAGTCGCTTCTTGGGATTTAGGGTTTTGGCTTTCTGCTTCAGAGCCTGGGGGCTTTGGGAGGCCCAGAGGGAAGGAGTAATCAGCAGCAGTGTGTTAGCAGCAGCACAGCAGCAGCACGAGGAGGAGGAGGAGGAGGAGGAGGAGGAGGAGGAGGAGAAGGAGCAGTAGTAGCAGGAGCAGTAGCAGAAGCAGGAGTGGTAGTTGTCGTAGTTGTCGTCGTAGTGGTGGGAGAAGTAGTAAGTGTAGGAGTAGGAGTAGGCGTATGAGTGAGAGTGGAGTAGGGCTAGGGGTAGCAGTTGCAGTGGCATTAACAGAAACAGTAGTAGGACGGAGTAGCAGTAGTAGTTGTGGTAGTAGTAGTAGCAGTAGTAGCAGCAGGAGTAGTAGTAGTAGTAGTAGTAGTAGTAGTAGTAGTAGTAGTTGTAGTAGTTGTAGTAGTCGTCGTAGTGGTAGTGGTGGTGGTGGTGGTGGTGGTGGCGGTGGTGGTGGTAGTGGTAGTGCTAGTGGTAGTGGGCGTGGTAGTGGTAGCAGTAGTAGTAGCCGTAGTCGTAGTAGTAACAGTAGTAACTAGTAGCCGTAGTCGTAGTGGTAGTTGTACTTGTAGTGGTAGTGGCAGTGGTAGCAGCAGTAGGAGTTCTAGGGATTCTAGGGGTAGTAGTGATAGTAGGATTGGCAGCAGGAGGAGCAGTAGTAGTTGTGAGCTGCTGGACGATAGGTGCAGTTTGTGTAATCCCAAGCCAGGTACTTGTAACTCTGCTTGCAGCTATCCACAGATTCTCACAGATACCCTTCGACCCTTGCACCACTTGTAACACTTCCCCAAGAATTCAGAGTTCTTAGAACAAGCTCCCACTATCACCAGCAGGGAACTATGATCCGAGCCTTTCCGCTACCAAGGAAGTACAGGAACCGCTGACCTTCTAGATTCAGGGCATATTCAGTGCCAATCAGTTCTGACCAGTAGCAGCAGATGGGAAAGGACTATCGGGCTGTCCTTCGTGTGACGGATAGACAGGTACCATCCCGTAATTGGATTCTAGGAGGCAGGATCCAACATTGCGATGCCCCAGGACATGGCATACCGTTCCCGGAATGACCTTCGCACGCGCCGCGGCGGGTTTTAGTGTTTGGTGTTTAAGGGTTTAGGTTAGACGCTGGCGGACCTGGCCTGGGGCCTGACTGTGTAGGGAAGAGAGGATTTTTGGACTTGGCCTTCGGGGCTTGTTTCAAGGACTTGAAGGGTCGTTGGGGGCAACGGGTTTTGAGCTTGGTTTGCTAGGGTGGCAGGCTGTAGTGACTTTGTGGCAGCTTCGGTTCGCCGCAAGCACCCAACCCAACTGAACACCCAAAAACACTCCTGAGGCCAACACGCTGAAGCCCTACGCCCAGGTACAATGATTTCTGTGAGCAGGTCGGCATCAAAGGGCGTGGCTCGACCTGATGGAAGCAGCTATCCGGGACGACTTGGGGTTGAAAATTGAGTTGAGGGTTGAGGCCTCCGGACCCTAGCCCCCGGACCACACACTATTTACCCCAAGCTGCTGCTGCTGTTCCTTCTCCTCCGCCTACAACAGCAACAGCTACTGTCTACTACGAAAGGCGCAACCCTCAACCTTCCAGTCTCTATCTCTTTGGCACATTCATCGAGGCGTGATTGCGAAGATCCGTGGCATGATGCAGCATCTTGGATGGCAGAGGAAGCTTTCCGACCACTGGTATGGTCCTTTCCTCCTAGGAGGCGTCAAGAGATCGGTGAACTGGGGCTAACCAGGGCGATCCAAGCCTCAAGTCCCAAACCGTCAAAGACTCCAAGCTGCAACATATTTCAGCACTCTGCTTTTTCTTACCGGCATAGGCATAGGCCTTTAGCCATGGACTTAAGGGTTTCGGGGGGATACGGCCCCAGTTTCCGAAGGCTCTGGTGCGATGGGGGCTTGGGGCTTACTCAGCAGGATGACGACCGATTCCTGCACCGAGTAGTGGTGATCATCACCTCTGCCACGCCGCTGACGCGTTGCTTCTGCTTCAACCTTCCGCTATTCTTACCTTTCGTTCGTAGGGAATGGAAGAATGGAGCAATAGTAGTTATACTTGTACCCCGTTCCTCCATTCCCTACTGACCAAAGGCAAGTATTGATGCTGCCGTGACCGCCTTTGTGATTTCAAAGCCTGCTCTATGCCACCGACCAGGGTGGTTGTCAAAACCAGGGTCCCTGTTTGGGTAGCATCGATAATAAGTGCCGTACTATAATAAGGACCCCCAAAGGGACCCTGATATTGACAGCCACCCACCAGCTCTTGAGCCCAAGCCAGGGCCCTAACCCCCAAAACCCCCGAAACCCCCAGGCTCCGACCGAATCTTGGCCCCAGAGCCTACTTGGAGCTTGAGGGGTAGATCTAAGTGGGGCTCAAAATCCCTTAGTAAGGGTTATAAGTATAGTTACCCTACTTATGACCCTACTTTTTTATTAACCATGAACCTCCAAGTACAGCCCAAGCTGCACCGCCCGTGAACCCAAGCGCACTAAACGGGTTTGATCATGACATAGTTTAAACCGACAGCTTGTTCTTATGCCTGAGGCCACTACATCATAGAATGCTTACAGAAACCATATAGAACTTTCTCAAGAGCCCGTAAAGGAACCCTATTGCGTGTGTATGACCTGTCTCACGTCCCCAGGAACATGGAGCGGGCGGACCTGGATCGGCTATTGGACCCCACTGAGGCATCCCCGCGTTCTTTCCTTTGTTTTTTGGGATTTGAGGGTTTGTAGGGCTAGGGTTTTTTACAACGGCTTCTTTCGTGGTTCTATGAGGCTCCATAGGGGTACTGTAGCTAACCGATTGAGGATTTTGAGTTTTTGGGTTTCGGCTTTGGGATTACACGATTCAGGGTGTAGTGATAGTGGTCAGAGTCTGGTGAGGTGTAGGGTTGGAGGGTTGAAGACTTATGTATGGCATAGGATGCAGCGTTTTGGGGATGGGGTTTAGGGTTTGAGAGTAAGGGCTGGGACTCAAGTTTTGGTTTCAGCCAGGCTGTACAGATCAGGGTTCAAGTGCTTATGGGTTTTGGTTCCGGTTGGTTGGATGTAGAAAGGGGAAAAGGAAGGATCCCTCCTTTTACCCTTGGAGATATAGAAGATGTTCATTTTCTTGGGTGATTTGGTGCTTCTTAGGGCTTTCCCAAGGTTGCAGGGGTCGAAGCAGTGGGGGGAGTTACCTAGGCTGGCTTGGAAATCACAAGTCTCTATCGATCGGCAACATGGAGTTATTTCAGGGTCTTTTCCAAACATGCGGCTTCCGTCAGGTCTGCCTGGAATCAACAGATCACTACACGAAGTTCTAAGCTCCAAACCCTCCACGCCAAGCTTCAAAGTTCAAGAATCCTAAACCCTCCCCCACTAACACACGAACCTAAAACCAGCAAATCCATGACCCTAAACCCTGCACCCTCAAGCCGCAATCCGAACCCCCAGCGCTGCGGGGCAGACGCCAACAGGAGTTCAAAGCAGAAAGCCGTAAACCTTAAAAGCTGCCCCCACCCTGTAATAGTGGTATAATAGGAATATAATAGGGCCCTAATATAATCCTATATAATCCTTATGGTCACTATTACAGGGTGGGGGCAGCTTCTAACGTAAGCCCCAGGTGGACAACATCCGGAAGGCCCAGAATCCGAGCCGCGACCGCATTAGTGTTTTGCAGGCGGTAGACCATCGGCTATACAAAGGTTTCCGGTGCAGGGTCTAGGGTACGGAGTTTGGGGTTTAGGGTTCAGGGGTTTATCACTTTTTTGTTTTTTTTGGGTTTAGGACTTCTGGTGTAGGGTCTGCTAGAGTAAAAGGAACATGTGATTTATGTTAATACCAATGTTTTTAATATGCGTGTTAATGATGGAATTGTTAGCCTTAATTGTAGTAATAGTGACAACAACCATACCAACATCATTAAACCCACTAACAGTTATGAGGACCAGAATCGTAATAACAATAACAACTATGAAAGCATCAAAAACAAAGACTGTGCTACTTGGAATAATGCTACTGACATTAAAGAACATTGAGATCACTAGCAACAATGATAATACAATCCTGGACCCCAAAGCTATCGAGAAGGATCGGCATGGCCATCAATCGCATTCGGACCATCGAGAGGGAGTCCGGCCGTGCGAGGGAGCCGCGGGCGAAAGTTCACAGAACGATCTGGCCTGGGGGCTTTGAGGGGTTTAAGGGTTTTAGGGTCTTTTTAAGCTCTAAAGGTTTTCGGCTTTAGGGGTGTTTAGGGTATGAGGATGCAGGATTCAGAGTGTTAGGCCTTACCATGGCATGCTAAGAGGCAGCTTTGAGATGTGACAGTGGTTCAAGTATGGAGACCCTTGCACAAAAGCAAAGAACTTATACAGCACATGTCATACATTTGATTGGACCGAGTTTTCCTCAGCAAGCGCCGGCTGGGTTTGGTGCGAGGAAACATTTGAGGTAGTTCGGGGTTTAGAGGGGAACTTCAACACGCAACATCCTGACCGACTGGAAAACTTGGGCCCATGCTTTCCAACGCTGCCAGCATTTGCATGTCTGTTCCGTTGCAGGAGATGCAAGATCGCAAGGGAAGTGGGAAGGGCCGTGCGCCGACTCCCCCACAGGCCGCTCAGAGAGGAGTTCCAAACCTTTCCTTCACCTGCACCTCCTGAACGGTCCTCAACGCCTTTTAGTAGTTGTGTTTGTATTATATCATGTATGAACCCCAAAATCCTGAACCTCTCAAAAGTAGTTCTGTTTGTATTATATCATACACCTTTCGTTTTACACCTAGCCCGTGAACCCTTAATCCCATAGCCAAACTCGACGCTTTCAATGCGCCTAGACTGCCTAGACCTGCGGATTCGAGGGCCTCAAGCTCCCCTAAACCCTAAACCCTAAGCCTTAGAGCTCTGAAGCCCCCAAGAGCCCGAAGCTTGCAAACTTGCAGACACCACGCCCTATAGCCGAACATAAGGTTGAGAGCTCAAGGTTTTGGGGTTCAGCATTTGGGGGTTTAGGGTTTCAAAACTCATCCTGAACCAAGCCCTGCGCCCGAAACTCGGGAATCGAAAAAATCCCACCTTAAAGGGATATAAGGACCTATTAACAGGGATCTAGGAGGGCTCTTTTAAACGCGATCTATAGCAGTTCTACAAGGACTCCCCACCTTAAAGGGATATAAGGACCCTTAGTAGTAGGGATCTATAAGGGCTCTCTAAAAAACGGGATCTATCAGTTCTACGGTTGATGATATACATCCTCCATTACCCATAATAAGGAATATACCATAATTCCCATAGTCTAGGGTCGTCAAGGTAATGCAGGATTTATATCATCAACCATAAACCCTGAACCCCCTATAGATCCCTTAAAGGAGCCCCTTAAAGGTACCCTTATAGATCCCTTTAAAGGAACCCTAGGATCATCAACAGTACAAGGGCTCCCCACCCACCGAGAAGGCCCACAGGAGCCTCGAACCGCCGCCGAAAGCCCGGCGGCGGCCAAGCAGGCTTTTGGGGTTGAGGGTTTAGGGTTTAGGGTTTAGGGTTTTGGCGCTCAGGGTTCAAGGGGTTTAGGATTCAGGGTTTTGGGGGGTTTAGGGGGTTTGGGGGTTGGGTTTGGGGGGTTTAGGGGATTGGGCGTTTACTGTTTAGGAGTTTGGGGGCTTTTTTTGAGAGATATGTTGAAGGCGCTGTCAAAGATGTGTAGGTTTCCTAAGCAGGATCTAGACGGGGAAGCTAGATCTCAGGTTTCAGCTTCAGGGTGTTGGGGACCAGAGGGTTGAGGGCTCGTTATGGCTTGGGCTGGGTGGGCTCCGTGATTTTGATATTTTCGTTGGTTGGATGTGTGATGTCAGCGATGACGCGGGTTCAACTTTCTTTCGAAAGCCATAAGCTCTTATCCTCAAAACCCCATACAGCAAATCCTGTGTCCCACACTCCTACCCTGCTCCATCAATGCCAAGCGCCAGATCCGGAAGATCTGCAACTCAGAATTTGAACTTAAAGCCCTCACCATTCCCAAAGTTTAAGATCCCCAAGCCTGAATCCTTCAAGCACCTAAAGCCCCCTAATACCTGATAGAACCGTACAGTCATCTTTCTTCATAAATCTTTATCAAGCGACATGGAAGCCTTTGTAGACCGTTGCAGAGCTGACGACTTTCAACCCTTCCAAGTGGTTGCAAGCGGGTTACCCCGCGATTTGTGTTATTCTGCTGAAACTTCTTCAGATGCCATAGGCGAAGTGTGAGCCCTAAACACCAATCCCTCAACCCTAGCGGCCCTAACGATTGACTCCAAAGCCATAAACTCGCAATCCTGAACCCCAAACTCCTAAACCCTAAACTAAACCCCAAACCCCTAAACCCCAAACCCCGAACCCCAAACCCTCAATTTATTAAAAAACCCACTTTAGAACCCAGCTATTTCTTGCGTAAACCAGGAGCCGAAGTCGGTCGCGTCCGTCTCCGAAGCGCGAGGTGCCCCAAGTGTTCTTTCGCGGACCGACCTCAAGTACGGTTTAGGGAGTTTCAGGGTTTGGGGTTTAGGGTTTAGGGTTTAGGGTTTGGGATTAAAACATACCACCCAGATGGACATACATGCATGTACATAAATGTGTATTCTATATATATATATATATATGTATGTATGTATGTATGTATGTATGTAATACACAAATACGTGCATACTGACTCTAGTTCTCGTTGGTAACTTATGTTTTGGACCTTTCTGCTTTTAATCTTTTGGGTTTATGGTTCTTTTTAGAGGGATCTCCAAAGCTGTGGTGCGTTTACATCTTGTCTTCTGAGGGAAGTGGAGTATAAGTACGATAGTTTAGCAAGTGCCAGGTCCCTCTAATCGGTCATTGTTCCGTTAAGAGTTATAGTACGACTTACACCAAGAAAACCTTGTTCTAGTCGTAAAGGCCACTGTATGAAACCCTGAAACCCAACACATTCCTGTAAAACCGTGAACCCCTATACATCCCTGAATGAAGCCCTACAAATCCTTTTCCTAGTAGTCGGTATGGAGGGAGTAGAGGCGTGAGCTGTGAACCACACATTCCCAAGACCGCCCCCGAAGTGCGAAAGCACACTCACCTGACACGGATGCCGACTTCCTTACCATAATGGCCTAAATAATTGCCTATACCATTCTTTTGAAGGAGCCTTTAAAGAACCCCATTTTAAATATTATGTAGGACTTTTTAGGACCCTATAGTACGCTCACAAACCCCCGAGACCCTAGCACCCGGGCTTCTTCACTGCGCCCCGCAGGCGCCGCCGCTACCGAGGCGTTTGAGGAGCCTGGGCATCAAGTCCCTAAACCCTAAACCCCGAAACCCTAAAGCCTGAACCCTAAACCCTAAACCGCGATGTTCCGAAGTCCATGAAACGCTATAGAATGATGTCGTAAAACTTTCTCAGCCCTCAAGTTTCTATACCACCTCATACCCCAAACCCCTAACCCCAAACCCGAAAGCGTATAAGTTCGTACAGGCTGCGGTGAAGCTAAGCCCTGTCGCGGTTGGGGAGAAGAAGTTTCTGTTTTGCCCGAAACCGAAACCTGAAGTCTGTTTGGGGTTTGGGGTTTAGCGTTTAGGGTTTAGTTTCATCATCAAACCTCAAACCCCAAGCTCATCAGCCCTAAGGCAGTCCTTAAAGCTCCACTGAAATCCATAAAGCCTTAAACCCCCACTGAATTCCATACAGCCTTATGTAGTTTTGCATCGCAGCTTGCGTAGGAGTTTGTATGGTCGTGTACAGTCATCATGTTGTGTACTATATACCGCTGACTATTGTGCCCAAGCCCTCTGAGTAAAAGGTTAGCGCAACCGCTCATGGCTTAACGGTTTTGGTGTATTCTATAGGTTATCAGCCGTATTCGCTGACTTTGTCTCCGTGGTATTCTTACACTGGTATTCACACTGGTACATGAGCACTTCGCCCTCCCTGCTCACTACTGAAAAGGGAGAAACAACCGAAGTATCATCGGACGAGATGGACGACGAAACAAGAGATCGACTGCTTGATGAACAACTCACAGCAGCTGGCGCGGGCCCTACGGCACCGAGCTCAGGATCCCAAGCACTTGATAGGATCTTCGGTCCAGTGGGTCCTACCCTATCTCCATTTGTCTCAAATCCAACGGTCGACATCTCAAACGTACAGTATACCTTGTACAATGTTGTGAACCAGGGTGAAACAGCCGAACAACAAAGAATGGCAATAGAGCGAACGGAGGCAGATGCTGAAAGAAGACACGCAAGCATTCTGAACCAACAATCGCATGATAATCTTGTGAGAATGGCTGGCATGGCTGAACAGGCCGAGCGCCTTCATGAGGTGAAGATGGCAGAATGCGAAGCACAGTTTGCGGAATTTGAGTTCAACGCATCCCAAAGGGAAAAGTTTTTGTTGAACGAAGTTGCAACATGCAGGAATGAAATGAACATTCTGGAATCAATTTTCCAACAACGACATCAGTCGGAAATCGCCAAGCTCAGAACTACTCTGATTGCTGAGAGCGAACGCAACAAAGCACAACATCTTGATTTTCTTGGAATGCGATTCAAACAAGTTCTTGAAGAAACCGAAGCGAGTATGGAACGGCGTTTCATTACTGAAATCGCTGAAATGAGTGCACAAAACGACAGACTGCAGGATGAACTGGCTGCCGCAGAACGAGCCCTAAGAATGGAAGCCAATGCGGACGAAGCGGGCAAACAATATGCCACGCCGAAGCCAGGACCTAATCCTGCTGTCCCGTTCTCAAATCCATTTGAGATTCCCGAGAATATGAAGGACATCTTCGGAAGAACGCCGCAAGCTCAGGAACCTCCGCAAGGGACTTCTGTACCACCTGGGTTTGAGAACAGAGAGCCACAAAAGGAAAAGTCTCCTAAAGCTGCCCAAGCGGGTAAGCCGGCGACTGTTGACCCAGACGGGGTTCCACATGTTGATTTCGGAGCTGAGGCATTGATTAGGGCAGCACGCTTGCTTACCCCTAAGACCGAAGATGAAGAGGGCAAACCAAAGGTGAAAGAAGCCGAAAGTATCAAGCTTCCCGATTACCCTAATCCAGAGACCTACCGATCGTGGCGGATCTCGGTCCGCGAGATTGTGCGGGCTGCGAGCGATCGCCCGGATGAGGCATTTCGCTGGGTGCAGGAAGTATATGATAAAGAGGCTACCCTCAAGTCCTTACATGACACTGGGAAATTCTTAACATTGGACACGAAGTTGTTGGCTGCACTTACCAGAGTCGCTAGAGGAGAGATTTCAAGGCAAGTCCTAAACTTCAAAGAAACTGAGGCCACAGGAGGACGTGCCGTCAGGGGAAGACAAGTATTGTGGATGTTTCATCAACACTTTAAGACTAACGAAGAAGTCGGAAGCCTCTATAGCGTAGAAGACCTTTTAAAAGTGAAGTTGGTTGGGGACGACTTGGCTACCTTCCTTTACAACTTCGAGTCGGTGATTGCTGGAATGAGTCATGTTCCGGATGAAGTTACCTTGAGGGACATTTTGCTGAGGGAAATTCGGAAATCCCACCACATCAAGTACGATCTTCAGCTGTACGACAGGGCAAAGGAAGGAAACCCCGTACACACGTATGAATTCCTCGTCAATGCCATTAGGGAGCATCTAACTAGAGAACGGATGCGTAAGAACCGTGACCGCATCGCTAAGTCGCATGGCGATAGATACGGGGCCCCAGCGTACGGATCTGAACGTCGCCCCTCTTCACGAGGAGGCCGTGGAAGAAGCATGTCCCGAAGCAGCTCAAAATCCAGAACAAGCAGCAAAGGATCGAGCCAACGAACACCGCCTAGATCTCAGAGTCCCAAAACACAACAGGTTTGTTACGACTTCCAGAAAGGAAAATGCACAAGAGGCGACAAGTGTAAGTTTCTCCACAAACCAAAGTCAAGATCCCCAAGTCCTCATCGAACGCCTCAAAAGAAGATCAACGCGATTTGCACCTTTTGGAAGAAAGGCAAGTGCAACAAAGGCAAAGACTGTAGGTTCCTGCATCAAGATAAGCCCAATCCAACTGACGCCGCTCCTACTGAGCAGGCCGCCCCTGCGAAGAACGATGAAAAGCCTAGGAGTCCGACCCCGGATCCTAAAGCAAAGAAGGAAAAGAAACAAAGGGGCAGGTCCAAGAGCAAGGAAAAGTCTGGCGGACGCACGGCAGCTTGTTGCATTTCGTATGCGCTGGCAGCTGTGCCCAATGGGCAAGGCGTTAAGGGTGATGCTTCAGGAACGTTCAAGAAATTAAGGTTCAAGGAGAAGCCAAGCATTCGGGAGATTCCATTGGATGGTAAGGGTAAGAAGCATAGGACCAAACCGCGAACTTTCGAAGTTTGTTACTTGGATGCTGAAAGCTGCCCAAAGCCTCCAGTTCAGGACCTAAGCACGGCCATAAGAACAGCGAACGAGCTTGCCAGGATCATGTCCTGTATGCTCAATGGGATTGAAAGCCACTGTGAGTACGAGTGCACAGATGACTGCGAAGAGGGTGAGATCCCAGTTGCAGTGTTGAAGTGCGAGCTGTGTTCTAGTGTGGAAAGAACAGCATGCTCTAGCTTTAATGCGGGACTAGAATTCCTCGCCGATACTGGCAGTGAAGAAGATCTGATCAGTAGGCACGATCACTCTATCTACTACCCAGAGGCTCCCATCGAAAACGCTAGTAGGCCGGTCAACTTGATTACAGCTAATGGTCCAGTTCAGGGAATCAAATCAACCAACATCCCGATGCCTGAACTGAAGCAAAACATTGAGTGCTATCTACTGGAAAGCACGCCACCGGTTTGTTCTGTTGGGAGAAGATGCATGGACGATGGATATGATTTCCATTGGCCTGCGGGCAAGGTTCCATACTTTATAGCTCCCGATGGTAAAGTCATCAAGTGTAAGATGAAGGGTAGAGTCCCAGTGATCTCAAATGATGACTCGGTAGCGAGCCCAGCAAGCGCTGATGATTCCCAGAAATCTGCTGGAACTCAGGTGTTTAACGCCGGTACAGTCAAGGTTGAACTGGCGGCACCTGCGGAGGACGAGTCTTCGGGTTTCCAGTAGAAAGCCGTCCGAGAGGACCGGCCGGGGATGAAAGAGTCGTCCACAGCGACTCCGAGATAGAAGAAGCAATCAATTCTGCACCGCCAATTGCAATCAAGCCTAAAGATTTAGCCAAGCCAGGTTGGATCACTAGCAGTGAAATTGCCGCATCAAAGATCATTATTGGTCATCGGCCAAAGGCTTTGCGAGTACCTGCACCTCGTCATCCAAGGTTCGTGCTAAGGACCACTTGGATCTACAAGGACTCTGCTTGGAGCAAGATTGAGGATTCTGTTGACATCAGAAGTCTAAGGGTTAAAAATCAAAAGATTGATGGATCGCCAATTCTGTCGATTACTGCTTTCAAAAGACCCGAGGACGACCCCTTAATCGAGCCCGATAGTGACAAGGAAGAAGATGAGGGAAAGGAAATCTCGCAAGAAGCCCGGCTTCGCGCCGAGGCCGAAAGCATCCATCATCAATTCTGCCATCGTCCTAAGAACCCATTCTGCAAAGTGTGCCAAAAGGCGAAGATGCTATCTCCCCAAGCTCGAAGAAAGGGGGGGTCTTCGACCATACACAGTGAAAAGTATGGGGATCATGTTACCATTGATCATCTCGTGACAAGAGATCTGAGGGACTTTGGATTTCAGGATGAGAGGGTGGCGCTTGTTATCAAAGATGTGTTTTCGCAATTTAGGTATGTGTATCCTAGCGCAACAAAATCAACGGAACAAGTGCATGAGGACCTTCTGCACTTTTTCGGTACGCAAGACGAAGTTGGGGTTATCTACTCTGACAACGCGCCGGAGTTAGGAGCAGCTGTGAAGGAACTCCGATGTAGGCACAACACCTCTAGAGAGTACGTGGATGAAACTAAGGCCGTCATCGAACGGGAAATCCGCACCGTACTAGAGGGTACGCGCTCGAACTTGGAGCAAGCCGGTCTTCCAGAACGGTTTTGGCCTTTAGCAGCTCAGCACCACTCCATTGCGCTCAATCTCACAAAACGAGTGGATACTGGTGAAATCCCATGGGAGGCACGCTTTGGGGAATCCTTTGCGGGATTGATTGTTCCTTTCGGAGCTAAGGTCTTGTATTGGCATAACCCTAAACAGAATGTTCCGGAGACTTCCAAGTTTTCGTCAACTGGGGTTGAAGGGATCTTCCTGGGATACCATATCCAACCAGGGTTTGTTTGGAAGAAGGAGTATTTGATTGCACCCGTGAAAGACGC